CCGCTGGTTCTAATAGAACTGAAACAAGTTCTCCAACCTAGATGGCTGGCGTCAGACTCTATTACGATATCTGTGAAAGAACTGAAAATTGCTTTCCCATTTCACTTGCGAATGTAATGAAGAGACCACAGTCATTCTTCTTTTGTTTCCTGATTGAGGGAAATTTCTTTGGAACAACCCAGACCATTGCATAGGTGTTGCGCCTGATATGCAGCTTGTATAAAAGCTGAAAGGAGACTCACTATGCAAGCTAAGGATCTTATGGAGATCAACTGTTTGTAGAGAAACACATTGATCTCTTTCCAAATGGTTTTGAGTTTCCAGGAAGGAAGAATGAAAGTGGCAGTTTGAAAGTTTACTAGAAATTCCAGAAATTCAACCTCCCAAGTGGGAGCCAGAATAGATTTCTTCTAGTTGATGAAACCTAGATTCATGAGCAGGGAGATGGTCCGTTGTGTGTGTAAATAAAATCTCTTGAGACATATAATTACATTGTCTGGGTAAATAATTAATCTAACCGCCACATATGTTGTAGAGAGAATGGAGACAACTTCAGGTAAGAGGGCGCCCGGGGGCCTCTTGAAGTTGTTATGGTGACTGTAGAGTCCCTTTACTAAATTTGTCAAGAAAGGCAGTATAAAGAAAAAACAGAAGGAAACCGAGGATAGAGCCTTGGGGACTTCAACTTAGACAGTATGTTAGCACTAAATGGTAAGAGGTGTTAGAACTAAAGGAGAAAATAAAAGATGGTCCAGGCACTCAAGGTAGATCCAAAGTGAGCAGATTTATTGGAGCACATGAAAGATGCTCTGCCCCCCTGGATTCTTAAGGTGTTTGGTGATTTCCATTATGGGATCTATTATGCCAATCAGCTTTGCGATTTTTATGTTCTGAGGCTTCTAATTATGGGGTAAGTCTTTTTTCCTTTTTTTCTGCATCATGCAGGATTGGTAACAGAGTGGTGATGAATCACTGCTTCTCTTTTGGATATATATTTTATTTCTTACACCACATTTTTTTTAATTGCTATAGTTGCTGGATGATAATGTTTGTGACACTCGTACACTTGATATTTGTTTATTATTTGTATGCTCCATTAGTATGCATTATTAACTATTGTGATGTGTAATTGATTATCTATGTCTTGATATGCACTGTGTTAATTGTTGAATTGGTTACCCTTTATAAAGGATATCAATACATGTGTGGTTAGCTTGACAAAGGCAATGTTGCCGGTCAAAACGTTCTGCTCCAATAAACCTGCTCACTTTGGATTTATCTTGAGTGCCTAGACCAGGCATAGGCAACCTCTGGCACTCCAGTGTTTTGCACTATATCTCCCATGATGCTTTGCCAGCATTATGGGTGTAAGAGCATTATGGGGATGTAGTCACAAAATCTGGAGTGCCCAAGTTTGCCTATGCCTGGCCTAGACCATCATTTATTTTTTGCGAATAACATTGTGAGGATTGGCCAACCTCAGGCCCGGTTGCAACCCTGGCACCCAGGAGAGTGTGGTATCCTTTATGGTAATTACCACAAAATGAGAACCTGAAGGATTGTTGGGAGAGATAGGATGAGAACAATGAAAGTAGTGGACACCAGACAAACAGAAAGATAGAGGCTGTGCAAATAGTTGCTTTGTGCACCAAAGTGCTACTATCATTTATTTGAAGGACAAATATAAAACAAACTATTCTGGGTAATCCCCTTATCAATGCATCAGTGTCTTGAATGCCAAGGGTGTGAAGAGTTTAGAGAATAATAGTGTGATCAACAGTGCCAAAGGAAGCTGAAAGGTATAAAACAATTAGTATGGAGTAGTGGCCTTTGGATATAGCTGTGATTATGATTAATTCCTTCCTTTAGTCAGAGCAATGTCAGTAAAGTAAAGGGAACATATTCAAGATTGAAAGAGTTGAAGAGGGACTTAAAGTTGAGAAAGTGTGCCAAACTGTTACAGATAAAGTGTGTCAAACTGCTGCAGTCAAACTGTTTCAGAAACGTTGAGGAGATATGGAGTAGAGATATGGGATGGTAGTAAGATGGGAAGACTTTTCTCCAGTTATGATACCTCTGCATAGAGCTTTGGATGCAAAGCTTGTCAGCACTGAATCCTGTGTAAATATTTTTGAGTGATGGAAGGAACTTTAAGATGGATTTTGTGAGTAGAGATCGAAACTCTGTCACCTGCATGATACACAGAAGCAGATGCATAAAACCACCTGGTCGTGGTGCAAGAAGAAACCCCATATGTCTTACATGTGTCTCATACTCCCCTTTCACGTGTCTCTATTTTCCCCAGCCCTTCCATGTGTCAATTTCACCCCCCAATACCTTCCATATGTCTCAGTACCCCCAGTCCCTTCCATGTGTCAATTTCCACCAGTTCTTTCCATGTGTCAATCCCCCCCCAGTCCCTCCATTTGTCTCAATCTCCCTATCCTACCCATGTGTATCAATTCCCCCCATCCCTTCCATGTGTCAATTCCTCCCCCTGTCCCTCTATGTGTCTCAATCCCCCCCAATCTCTCCATGTGTCAATCCCCCATCCCTTCATGTGTCAATTCCACCCTACACTGTCCCTCCATCTGTCAATTCTCTCCCCCGGGACCCTCCATGTGTCAATTTAGCCCCAAGTACCCTCCATGTGTCTCTTCTCCATTCCCCTTTATACCTGCTCTCTGCTATAGCATGGCACAGCAGACCGAGGTACACAGTATGACAGTGCTCTCACAGTCCCAAGAGGATTGAAGATCAGCCAAACATTGGTCCAAAGCTGACATTTCTGTATCAGAGAATGTCGCTGTAAACCATAGGATGGAAACCATAAACAGAAAAGCTAATGTCGTCAGCCCCATTAGTTTGATTGTAGACAAAAAAAAGGCCAATATCATGTTAATTTCAAATACAAAATCCCTTACAGAAGCTTAAAATAAACCGATTACCTTTATCTGACACCTTATCCTGAAAATGCCATTAAGCCTGAATATTTCTTACAACATATCTTTGCTAACTCAGAAGAAGGTAGTTTTCGAAGAAAACAGACCAGTCACCATAAGAATTACCTTTAGAATATGGTAATTAAGCTAAAAAAAAAAAAGACATGGCTTTGAAGGAACAAAGGTTTGCTGGTAATCGGCACAGGTAGATGTAATTCATGGGATACATGAAACTAAGCACAAATATTCCAGGATTTTATATAATCTTTCATGCTGTTTTCAATATATAGCCACCGGAACAGCTGGCCCCACCTTGTTCTGCCTCCATGGCTGAGACCATTAAATCTTACACAGGCTATGGCACATGCGTGGCAAAATGCAGTGCTGCCCTAATCAGCATCTCCTCATAGAGATGCATTGAATCAAAGTATCTCTATGGGGAGGAGCGTTCAGCGTTTCTATGCAGAACATGGAGACACTGAACACCAGGGCTGCACACTGTGCAACACTGACTCAGGAAGCATCTCTAGTGCGCGTGACGTCCACTAGACGTGCTGCTAGGGAGTAATGTAAACACTGACTTTTATATGAAAAGGCAGTGTTTACATTAAAAAGCCTGCAATGACAGACTGAAGACACCAGAACAACTACATTAAGCTGTAGTTTTTTCTGGCTACTACAGTGTCCCTTTAGGGCAGAAACAGTCTTGCTAACCCCAGAAGTCTCTAAAACAGAGACTTCATTTGGCAAAAACTTTGAAAATGTATATTAAAAAAAATGTATATAAAAAAGCAATGCAAACTGGTTAGCAAGATATCTACCATAAAACCAATGGGCTTAATTTATGAGAGCTGAATCGAGGGGGGGAGGAGAGAATGAGAAGGGAACTTGAATATTTTCTTTATATCCACCACTATCATGAATAATACATTTAAAAAAGAAAGTAATGCCTATAGTTAGTAGAATGTATTCTTATACTTGTACTATATAAAGACTTGATATTTTTACACTTCTTCACAATCCAGTCAAAATGCAAGTTGAAGAGATGCATTTTGTTTTCAAAAACTATAACAAGCATTCATTCAAATTAAAGGGGAACCATGGTGAAAGAAAAAAATGTGTTTCTAGACTACATTGTCATGATGTTTAGCCAATTACAAGACATGAACTTTAACAAACAAAACAAACATAAACAAAAAGAAAAAAAATAGAAAGGAACACTCACAAGAGTCAACCAAATGGTAGCTAATATGTTTCTCATAAATTAATCCCTAAATGTATTGTGATCTATTTCCTTGAATTAACATATGGAATTGCAACAGGCACTGTGCAAATACTTAATATATAAATAAACTGAATCAAGTGACAATGTCAACCTATTTCATTATCAACCTTCATATCATCTTGTATGGGCTGTGTGGATAGAAGGGATCACGCTGACAGATTACTATTGATTAATATGCCGTCTGGGTTATCTGATTTTGTTTTCATTTTTGTTTTAATTTATTATTTACCCACTGGCTGCATACGCCCAATACTCTGGCCGTTATGTGCTTAATAGGGGATGGCTAGTCTTCTGACTGTACGTGGTTAAAGGACCACTATAGTGCCAGGAAAACATACTCGTTTTCCTGGCTATAGTGCCCTGAGGGTGCCCCCACCCTCAGGGACCCCCTCCCGCCCGGCTCTGGAAAGGGGAAAAGGGGTTAAACTTACCTTTTTCCAGCGCTGGGCGGGGAGCTCTCCTCCTCCGATCCTCCTCCGTTCCTCCTCCTGGGCTGAATGCGCACGCACGGCAAGAGCGGAGCGCGTATTCAGCCGGTCACATAGGAAAGCATTCATAATGCTTTCCTATGGATGCTTGCGTGCTCTCACTGTGAAAATCACAGTGAGAAGCACGCAAGTGCCTCTACTGGCTGTCAATGAGACAGCCACTAGAGGATTAGGGGGAAGGCTTAACCCATTCATAAACATAGCAGTTTCTCTGAAACTGCTATGTTTATGAAAAAATATTTCACCAAAGGCCTATCAACCTGTATAAGATCAAGACTACAAAATTCTGGAAATTTGTAATACCAACAGTTCACTGTGATAGAAATACAACTGACATTGTATTTCTATCACCGTGAACTGTTGGTATTACAAATACGTGTAGCTTTTTTACAGGACTTTCTATAATGGTTGACTTCAGATGATGAGGGCAGTGATAACAAAATGTGACCGTTTCCACCCTAACACAGATAATGAGCTATGTGTTCAAAAATAAATTTTAATTGTAGCACATGGTTATGGTTCTATTGAGTAATTGGGTCTTACCTCCTCTGTCCCCCATTTCCCAAAAGAGCATCCATGATCAATGTAAGGTTGAGTTTCATGTGTTACTTTAAAGAATATGTATGTAAATTCAAACCGTAATGCAGATAAATAGAGGACATAATTAAAATACTGTACACAGTACACTAAGAAGATAAAACAAATAAAATAATATGTTCCTGTGCATTTATTTTACATGATGCTGCCTATACACAATTTTTGTACTTGTTTCTGAGGTTTTTATCCCATCCTTGCTTTGTAAAAAAAACCTCTTTTGATTTGCACAGCACGAACCTCGTTATTTTCATGGCTTAAATTATACACAATCATCAGAAATGTACTGCAAAGCTGCGAGACAGAAAATGAATGGGACGATTGTAATAACAGAATAATTGTACTGTCTAAAGAGCATTATATTACTATTAAAAATATAGCTTTTCGTAATACCCTTAATATGTCATTTTTCAATTTACGATATATCTTTTTATTTGGTCGTGATTATCAAAATAAATTATAGTGATCTGGAACACTATCATAACCTACTTTCATTTTTTTTTTTTTTTTACTGATTTAATAAAGGGATTCTCCTCTTCTCTTGTGGCAACTTTTTTTATTTGTCTTCTTGTAATTTATTATTCAAGTAATTATGAAAGCAAAGTCTATGCAAGCCATTTTCAACTGATGTAACTGATATCATTTGAAACCTACTATGTTGAACGGTTGATGGTCTTACCTTTCAAAGTGCCCCATATTGCAAGCTCACCTTAAGAACGGACATCTTAGCAATAAGAGCCAATGAAAAATGTAGCAAATCAAATCAATTATATATGAAAGTACTGCTTTGTCTTTGTTGTATTAGAGCTGTAAAATGGATGAGATAACAATAACAATTCAAGAATGATGAAGATATGAAAGGGTATTTTCAGTTTCTAAGTGAAAACCAACATACAGTAGAGATAGCAAAATCTATTAGGACGGGGGATAGAAGAGACACTGGAGAGGGTTGATGGTTTTCCATGCCTGTCTTGGCACCTTCTCAGCATTAGATGCAGGGTGTTTCATTTGCACTTATTTGAATGTGTATATCAGTTGCACACTGGCTTTTGCTGCACATATTGTAGGTAACATCTTATTAGGTGAGCTACTAGTTGCTGCCATTTTTGTTATATTTTTTCTTCTATCTATTTTTTTATAAATTGTGCACTTTTTGATTACCTTCCTGTGTCCTTTTTTGGAGATACTACTGTATGTGGACCTCAATGGAAATATTGGTGGATGTTGTGTTTAGGATAAGTCCAGAACTGGGATGAAAGCACCAGGATTTTTATCTGACAAGCAACGACATTATACCAAGTAAGCATTTTCTGATGTGTCTACCCCCTTGATGTTTTGGAGGGGTGGTGTTTTTCTTTTACAGGGGATTATTATCTGTTCTATATCATATCTACAGTAGAAGTACTCTTTCCTTTTTGTTGTACATTTACCTCTACGCATTATCCTTCTTGGTATTGGTTGAGTGATGTGATAAGTTTCTGCACATTGTATGGTCCAGAGTGTCTGGGTAACAGCAACTTTATTACATGGAATGTTAATTGCACGTTAAACATATTGCCAACCAAAAAGTCAACAATATTAAAAAATGCCTCAATGAATAAAAAGTTTAAGTTTAAAGAGACCAGCAGGCTTATTTACTAAAATGGGAAATCAAAGTGAATTCAAATGGAATTTTAAAATTAAGCCCAGAGTAGTGGAATTGAAAGCATATTTGACTTACAGAATTATTCAGTTTCAACGAGTTTAACCTCAGATTTGAAATTCATTTTGAATTTGTCTAGAATTCTAACTTTATTGAATAAACTGATAGACATCTTGTCTTACTGCACCTTTTAGATTTCTCATTGTGATGAGAAAGTGTATATTAAATAATTATACTGAAACTGTTAGTGAAATGTTTAGTTCCCCAGTCATTTGTGTATCTACACTCAGGAGCATATAATAATAATAATAATAATAATAATAATAATAACAAAGTATTTAACCAGGAAAGGTATGTTCAGATTACTCTAGTTTCCAAGTAGGTCCTGGGGATGTTACCTTTGTCCAACATCCAGGGGATGTTACTATATATAGTGGCCAAATGTCTAAAGCCTCTGAACCAATGTTTCCACTAAAGAAAAATATATTAGTGCATTTTGCAGCTGTTGTAGTATAGAATTGTCCTCACATTTACACACAACTGCCAAAAAACATTTTAGTTTAAGTCTTACAAAATCATTTTATATATTCCCCAATATGGGATAACTACCGGTTTGTGGGGAAAATTTAGTTTATTTATGTATCGCACCATGTTTTTATTACACCAAGCATGAGTGAGGTACTGAGCATAATGCAATCCTGTATAAAATATCCTTTAAATGCCAATAAACCGTGATCAACCAAAACTTTATAATATACGGTACTCAGCGGAAGTAGGAAAATACAACAAACAGATGCAATACTTAAAACAAACTGGACTTCTTTGCTAAATACTAAATGCTGATGAATAGAAAATTACATTTGAAAAATTTATCCAAATCATCAATTTTCACCTAAACTTTGCGATTTGTTTTTCAATTCATTACATTGTTAATTAAACAAATTAACCTTACATGAGGTTTGGTGCAAAAAAAAACTCCAAAAAGACAGGACTTATTTGCTAAATACTCGATTTTGGTAAAACTAAAATTGAATTGAATAATTTGGGCTAAAATAGCCAAGCTTAAAGGAATACTGCTGCGTTAGCAATACATATCTGTTTTCCTAACGCTACAGTTGTTGTGCCACTTAACATTTTCAACAAAAGTTAAATAGAAAAAAAATAAACTAATTACTTACCCTTTTCCCAGCGCTGACTCTCCCTTGGCGCTGCCAAGACATGCTCCTCAGGTTGTGTCATCCAGGATGACAGGTCAATCTAATGCTCCCCAGAGAAGCATTGGGGAACATGGGCACATGTGCAGTGCTCGCCTTATAATTTTGTGCCTACAGGTGCCAGACATGTAAGTCCATCCCTGACAGTATACTGTAACAGGGAAAATAATGGCAGGCAATAGCATTGCAACTTGCTATGCCAAGGTAGGACATTCATTAATGGAGTTTAAGATGTGGGTCCGTCTTTAGTCTCTAGTGGTCAGGTGCCTACTCTGCATAATGGGAAATCGTGCTCTGATCACTGTGTTTGTGGACAGAATCTTACATCACATTATTACCTCCACTTCACACATCCATTACTTACAGAAGATATGTCATCAGCATAATAACGCCAAGAGCAGGGCTGACTGTCATTCAAAACACACCAATACCTGTTTGACAACAAGGCAGCATATAGAATTAAAATGTGATCTGGAAAATATGGTAGATCTGGCAAACGTGTTCTGGGAGGCACAAAAACTGGGCAGTCAAAGTTATGGGTAGTGAGGTGAGAGACACTAAAGAGTGTGGAGAAGAAAAAAATACAGGAGGGCTACACAATGCAAATATTTTGTATACATACTGACCCTCTACACAGATACATCCCTACGATAACACTCTGCCACATGGTACACATATGCCATGCCATTCAAACACATTTGCCACATACAAGTACTACCCTGCATTGACACTACTGACACAGCACAAACAATTTCACACTATATACACATACATGCATGGATATACTTAATGGTGCACTCCAAGCAATATAAAAACACATGCTCCCTGAATAGGTAAGAGTGCAGTAGGTTATCTTTTTTCTATACAGTAATTTATCCAGCCCTAAACCTGATTTTCCTTTAGAAGGATCAAAAGATTTTTGTGTGCACTATAGGCTCTTTGTACATTAATTATACCATAGTATAAACAGGAGAGGTAATTATGTTTTGGAAAGTCCCCTTAATACAAATAACATTATAATACTTTGATTACAGACACACACAAATTGGCAACAGAGTAAGGCTATTCCAATGCTATTTACTAGCTTCAATATTTAAATCATTTGTCAAAAATGTCAAAACAATTTATAGAAACTACCATATGAGTTTCCATTAACTGGTTAGACTAATATATGCACATAATATTGATATATTTCTGGAATAAATCCTATACCTCTTTAGACAATGCTTAGGGACCAAAGGATCCACGGAAATAACAGAATGGCAAGCCTTTTATGTGGTTGTCGGTGTTTTAGCCTCCTGTGCAGAGACAGCCACTCCACTTCCTGATTGTCATCAGGGAAAGTGTGTATGGCATGAGTAGATACAATGCAGCTAGCCTCTTGTCCAGAGTCTATAGGCCTGTTTTGTATAACTTGAAAATGAATTGTAGAGCCCTATCTCCAGAACCTCTGGCTACCTGTCAGGAAGGGTTTTGGGACAATATGCTCTGTATGTTTGGACCTTTGTTTAATTTTTGTGTGTATATTTCTCTCTCCATCACTATTCATGGTCATGCTTTTTCGTTCTGAGAGAGAGTTCTCAGACCAGTTCAAATTAGTCTACTTGAGTCTCTCATGAGGTCCAGATACCTTTGTCATTGTCTGACCCTCCTGTCATGTTAATGCTTTTCTGTCACTGTTTGGGGTCTTAGTGACATCAACATCTCCACCTGAACCTATTCTACCTCTTCCTGCCTCTCTTCTTCACCTCTTTCCGCTTCAGCTTCCAGGAGCCCACATCAGTGGGACTCCTCCACATAAAGAGTTTAATTTCCCTAGAGTCGTCACTAGTGATGGCTCGGGGAAATGGCAAGCTTGGTGGCATTTGTAAAGTAACAATGCATTAATTAAAAATGAAACATTATTACATAAATTTTAAATATTTTTA